GCAGGGGATGCTTTAGGGCGGGGCTACACAGTGATTGACAGGTCACTGTCATACACAAGTCTGGGAGTTGCTTTGAGTCAGTTTGGGCCTTCAGGGGTCACCACCACATTAGTTCCATTTCACTGAACAAACCCATTATGTGACCTGAACAAACAACCTCAAAACCATTTTTTAAAAAACGAAAAGTTTGCGCTCCACGTCTTGTGTTCCAATAAATGTGCAAATACAGACTGAGTATTCAAACTCTTGCCATCTAACGTTTTTTGTCAGCTGTATGTCGGTCACAAAGTAATAACATGGAGGTAAATCAGTAAATGTAGTTTTGTTACGTACCTTATCTGAAGACGCAGTGTGCTCACCATCACCAAGAACCCAGAAACATTAAAGAGTTGTCAGATAAACAGAAATATAAGTACACGGACTGAGATATATAAATACAAACTCTTACCTGAAGGCTGTTAAAGCGTTAAACAGCTGAAGCCCGAGGACAGCAAACACCTGATCAAACACAAAAAACAAAACAAAAATCAAAACCCGGTAGAGAAATTCAGATGAAGTCGTTTCATCTTCTGCGTTCATTTCAGTGTGAAGACGAAGCTTCTTTTCTTTCTGTTGGCTGCGAGAGCGAGAAATGAGAGCAGCGTCGGGGGAAATAAAAGCAGGATGCCCGCAAGGCTTCACCACTCAGACTCTACCTGTCCTCCTCCTCTTCTTCTCTGCCAGGAGATGCAGATATATTCATTACATGCATGGGGAGTTCTCTCTGGCATCTCGTATCGATCGGGTCGCTCCTGTTCCACAGCACGTATTGATCACATCGACTGGCTCTTTTCTACTTTTTCTTACAGGATGTAATGAGGTGCACACAGAGGTTCCTGCCAGACTCAGGTTTGTATCGTGTTAAAAGGACAAATGTAGTCTGGATGGAGTTTATGTTCATTTCTCTGCCGCTTCATCGTGATGGGATGTGTAGTATTTACACGTTAAGCGGTGGAAGAAGTGCTCGGATCTTTGATTGGCTAATCGTTGTTCCCCTCGCTGTGCTTATTTGTCATTTACTTTTAATCGAGAAACTGCTGTTTCATGTCGTGATGCTCGACGAATCATTGTGGAGCGGGCTAAATCAAAGGCCTGCCACCTCTTAATGTTGCAGCTGGTAAAGGTGGAGCTGATTTTAATAGCTTTATATACTGCTGGGTGGCTTCACCTATAATATGTCATTATTAGAGGATTTCTATTTGTATTAATAATTTAAATATGCAGTTTAGTTGCAGGGGTCCATGATCTCAAGAACCACACATACCTGGTGTCAAGAAGAGTCTCACACTGAAGAATCAACAACTGATTTCAACCGTCTTCACCGAGATGACGTCTGACTGGAAAATCAAGAAGTCACCAAAACCCCAACCACTCATCCCAAAACAACAATAACGTACAGTTTTTTCTGATGTTCTCTCATCCAAACTGTTCCCCGTCAAATAGACCCAAACATGGCAGCAACTTGTGAAACATTCCTTTATTATAAATAGATCATTTGTATAAAAAAACGGGCATGCTTCAATTCAACCATGGCATTTAGACATTTCACAACCAAAGGCTACCGTTCAGTTAGCCGAAAACAGCGACAGACTCGTCTCATAATGCAGGTCGACGGACGGACGACATGAGACAAGATTCAGAAATTTTCACGACCACGAGTTTTTTTTTTGTTTGTTTTTTTTTCAAACGCACAATTAGAACAACAACAAATAAGGTTGGTCCCCAAAATTACATTTTTTTCGACATATTTTAATCTTTTTTTAATATTCATCTTTCAGGTTACCATTCTCCTGCTCTCTCGCGGACGCTCTGATTTTTCAGCTGTGATCCTTTCAGGTTTCCGGCGCCGTTCAGGCCCGTTCCCTGCTGTCTGTAAACATAAAAACACCACAGATGCGTTGGTTCAGTTTGTTCAGATCCTTCAGATTGTTCAGAGCACCTTGTGGGGACGTCTGACAGAAATCTGCTCCTTTAAATGTCTCTGGACGTCCTCGTGTGGAAGGAGTCGTTTCTTCACATGGCGTGGTTGGTGTAGCTGACGTAGGTGGTTTTTGTTGGCGGCACTGAGGAGAGAAAAGGAAACAGCAGGTTGGTAAAGTGACACCTTACTTTCACTAACAACACTCATCTCAGTGCAGTTCCTGAAATAGTCACAAAATGCAATCTATTGGTTTCATGCACAGGGACACAAGTCTTTTTTCATGCCATTCAGAACTACTTTATTTCGGGACGACATGACGTTACAAAACGAAGGTTTACTTAGTTAGGTCTAGAAAAGCATCATAGTTGGGCTTAAAATAACTACACTAAGGTTTAGGCAACAAAAACCCCTAGTTCAGTTCAATAAAAATTGCAACGAACGTTAAGGCAACGAAACCACGATGTTAGGTTTAGAAAAATTGCCATGAAAATTGGGTGTAGTTATATGTATATAGTACATGTATATTACTAAAACTAAATTTTGGAGGATGGTGCTACAGGAAAGAGTTTGATGTATCTTCTGGGAATCGTGAATATTCCCACTACATGTACAGGTAATCTAACCAGCACGACCACATAAACCTCACAAGAGTTTTCGTCTCATGAAGTTTGACTCTTCCTCCTCCACTTCCTCGCCTCACGCTGAGCGCTGCAGGATGAAAGAGGTTCATCACTAACGTGAGGTTGAGCTGCTGCTTGTTAGATTAAGCAGATCGGTTCAGTCAGCACATCTCTGATGAGTAAACAATCCGACGTCTCACACTTTTTCTGCTGATGGACCCAAAAAGCAGCTTTGAAGCTGTAAACAATTTCATCAGATCTGGTCTCAGGTGACGTCTAAACAAACTCCAAGTCAACTTCCTGTTAAATCCTCATTAGAGAGGCTGCACTCTGACTTCACGTCCACATGGTCGACTTTACAGAGACGTTGACAGACTTCTTCTTACAGCACCTCTGTTCAGAGAATCACTAACAGTATTCACTGTAAACCTTTCCGTGTTTATCAGTGTGTGCTGCCTGATTGCAAATGCTTCCCACAGAAAAGGTAAATCCACTTGTTCTCCATAGTCAGGTAGGAGGATCTCTGTGCATCCGGTAGAGAAAGGCACTATGCGGCCAAAGCTACACCACCGTTTTAAACCTGACACAACAGCCTGATTGTGTCCAGTCAGCTGTCTGGGAAGACAACCCTATATGTTGGAGTGGTCTCTTATGATGTTAGATCGTACACAGTCCTCTTTCTTTTGTTCTGTCCTCTCCAATGCATCGCCACCTTAACGCTGTGGAGAGGTTGTGGGGACGTGCCAATGAGCTGTGGTATCAGGGGCCATAGCTCCTGGTAGGGTCTCCCAAGGCAAAGTGGTCCCAGGGAAGGTTCCAGACCAATGACCCTATATGAACCAGCCAGGAAAGAGTTGTAGCACCTCGCCCAGGAAAGGGAAACAGGGGCCCCCTAACTGAACCAGACCTGGGAGGGGAGCTCGCCGGTGAGCGTCTGGTGGCCGGGCCTTGACACATGGGACTCTGCTGGGCACAGCCCGAAAAATCTACATGGAGCCGCTACCCTTAGGCCCCACCACTTGCAGTGATAGGCATTTGGGTTGGGGGCATTGTTAGCCAAGCAGCAGGCAAAATGAAAAACGCACAATATTTAATTATCTAAATATCGACAAACTTGTTGTTTATATAGTTGCCGGTGCTGAAGCATTACACTTTAATGCCACACAGGGTTCGACCATTTTAAGAAGCCCCTCGGCCCACTCACCGCTGGCCTCCACACCCTCGCACAGCTCCGTCTTCACCTCGCCGTTGGGCCGCTCGGCCGCCAGATGCGACAGCTTGCTGGTCATGGTGGCGACGGTGACGATGGCCTTGAAGCTGCGCTTGCGTTTGGGGACGTTCTGCTCGGGGTGTAAGATGATGATGTAGACCTTCGGCATGTAGAGCATGCCCAGAGAGACAGAGGCGCTGAGGCTGAGGGACACGGTCAGCGTGGCCGTCTGGATGTACATCTGAGGAGGAAACGGAGAGGAGGAGGTTACTGAGAGGCATCGATGAGACTCTCATGACTATCATGAGACCTGAGAAATCTGTTTACTTCCTGTTAACGGTGATGTCAAGGAAACATCCAAACTCCACCTATTTCATGTGTTCACTTAACAAATACAACATTTGAACACACGGACTGACTAAATGATTTCATCAAATCAACAATCTGCTCTCAACGAATGTCAAATAACAAGAATTGCATAAAAGTTCCATCATGGACATTTTGACCACTAGTGTTGATATCCAGTAATATTTTGATGACTAAGTGTCTGTTTTTTGTTTTTGGCACATGAGTAGTAATACGATAGTTTTAAACTTCTCTGCTGAGCAACATTTCTTGCAATGCGTCAACAAATGCAAGAAAGAAGAAGACTGCAAGCATTCAAACCGGGAGAAAAAGAACAAGTTGTCTTTGCAAATGTTTTGTGAGGAAGGAAAGGCATTCAAGACGTGTGTGGGAGAGGATGCACGGAATGTAAACAGAGCTGTTTGTAAGAAAACTGCACGAGGTAGCTGCCTTTAATTAGTGTCAGTCAACTCATTACATCCCTCAAATATAAAATATTGGCCTCCTTCAATTGCTAATTCAGGCTGTTTAATCATCATTCATTCCCTCCAACACTTGAATCAAATGGTCGTTTCCTTAAATTGCTAATTCTATAAAAAGTTTGGCATTCAAAATATTGTTTAAGTAAAAGTATTACCATCAAAATACACTTAAAGAAGCACAAATAAAGATACTCATTATGCAGAATGGCCCATTTTAGAATCATACAGATGTTTAGCTGATCATAATTATTTATATATTCATGTGTCAAACACTTTAATGTTGCAGCTGGTAAAGGTTGAGCTCATTTAAATGACTTTATAAACTGCTATGTAGCTTCACCTATAAAACATATCAATATTCATTAGTGGATTTATAATCTGTTTTTGCAAAGTAACTAAAGGCAGTGGAGTAAATAGTATAATATTTGGCTCTGAGATGTAGTGGGGTAGAAGTAGAAAGTAGCAAAAAAATTAAGTACAGGTACCTCAAAATAGTACACGATAGTACACAATAGTACGTGAGTAAATGTTCTACGGTCTCTTGACTAAATTCAGACTCAATGATGGGCTGAACTCAGCAGGAATAACTCCATAAGTTTTCATTAAAACGAACAAATGGTCGACTGCTCGGTTCATTTAATGGAATCAATCCAGTGACTCGTGTTGGTGGCTGATAATTCCGTCTCCTCTTGCAGATACTTTGGCACATAACCAGCCGACGTTTACAGCGGGAAAGTCAGAGTGGTGAATATGTCGGGCTGCAGTTTTCCCTTTGCTGTTCGGGAGAGATTACGCACTTTGAGCAATTGCAAGACTTTCAATATGAAACATCTGCAGGAAATGATAAGTTTCTCTGACAGGAGCTTCACAGTGAGTCACAAAAATTGCAAAGTGGAAATAATGAGCGATTAAACAGTCTCAGTTAAAGGAGTGTTTTCAGGAGAGTATGATGTGATTGGTAGGGAAATGAAATGTACTTCGTACAAACAAAGACACCAGGAACACATGGCCGGTCTCTAGGCCGGTTCTAAAAGGCCGCTGCTTCCTTATCTGATCTTGAGCCTCTGGATACTGGCTTCGTTCAGTAACATATGCTCATTTTCAGGTTCATACTTGTATTTAAGTTTTCTACTGGAACATGTTTATAATTCTTTACAATTTCAAAATACACATTATTTCTCTCATACCTTCTGTTTGAATATACCTGTAATTGTTTTTTAGCGCCCGTCTCTTTAAGAACCGCTCGTGTAAAAGCCCAGTCTGTTCTGATTGGTCAAGGTATTCCGGTCCTTCCAAGCACCCAGGAAGAGCACCGGGCTTTAAAGCAAACTTTGCATCGTAGCCAAACGGTGGAATTACAATTTCCAGGTCAAGTGATGCCATGGGGCCCAAAACAACGTTTTCCCCAGAGACTTACATTGGGAAAGAGACGTCAGTAACTCAGCGGATCTTAAATTTGGAGGTGAATCAACTTCCCAGTACGAACACTTTAATAGCCCTTATTTAAATCAATAGCAGAATCCACAGTTATTGTCCTTTTAGTTATTGTCTGATTGAACAATTAGCAATCCTTCAGAAAGGAGACTTTAGTTTATTTGTGACATAACTTGCATACTTCAGTAACGGCACTTCCGTAGTTATTTTAACCCAAAAGACAATCGTTTCCTGAACCTAACTAAGTAGTTTTGTTGCCTCAACCTAACTAAGTAGTTTCCTGTGAAGATGGAAGTTTATTTTGAAGAGACTGTAAGCGTGTAACAAGCTGAAATCGACACGTGCTGCAGGACTTTTGAAGGAAAGAGGAGCAACTTCTGCAAACTATTGTAGGATACATTAAAAAAACACTGGAAAATAAACTATTAAAGCATTCAAAGAGTAATAATGAACAACGAGTTTCACCTCCTCTCACTCCATTAGCTGGGAGCTGTGTGATGGTTCTCATTGGTGGACCGGTTAACTGGGGGAGCTCCATCATGTGAGCAGCTGGACCATCATTAACTCCTAATAATCTCTGTCTTCAAACAGCTCAACAACAACAACAGAGTAGAGAAGCGCCGGGACTCTCTCTCCCCATCTCAGCTTGACAGATGACCCTGAAGGCATCATTAGGCTCGGTGCTGCGTTTATGAGCCAGTACGAGACTATTGATTCTCCGTGTTGTTGTCTTTGCCTTCAGAAGGAGGTATTCAGAGACCTGATACACAGTCAGAACTATTTACTTTATGTACATTTACTCAAGTACTGTACGCAAAGACCATTTTGAGGTACTTGTACTTTACATTTTGTGCTACATAATACCTCAACTCCACCACATTTTGGTACCTATTACTGTGAATGTAAAAACATGAAAGCTCTCTCCGTTGAGCCAGTGTTTGGTTTGTCCATTCTGGGCTCCTGTAGAAACATGACAACATGGCATACTGAAGAGGACCTGTTCACTATGTAGACATATGAAGGGCTCATTCTAAGCTCACGAAAACCATTCTCAGTTCCAGGTGATTGTACCTGAATGAATACATAGTAAAAGTGATATTCCATTTCTGCCAATCCAACACGCTGGCCCTTTAAGAGAGTATTTCTACTCTGTGGTCCTGCTTCTTTTACTTCTTTAGTCTGTGGTTGTCATTAATTACATTATATAAATGATCTCAATAAACCTGAGAAGGTAATCTACAAATAAATAATCACAAACATAAATATATTATATTAATGTTGATGTTTGTATGTAAAAACAAAGTAAATAATAAATATGCAGCAATAAATATTTATTTCATGTCAGTAATATTCAATAAAATTATCCAAAGTCGGGACATAGCCAAATCACTCGTGCATGCACACGCACACCTACCTACACACACACACACACACACACACACACACACCATGCAGAGCTCAACCAGGCAGCACAAACCTGTTTTTTCTCTCTTCGCCCCTCCAGCATCTCCCACAAACACACCTGTGCACACGCTTCCAACACACAACGACACCAACACTGCTGCTCAGAGAATCGCCTGCGTCGCCACAGCAACCACCTCCCAAAAAAAGTCGAGGTCCGGGCTAATGGCCCCGGTGTCAAACTGTCAGCGGGGAATCCTCGGTGGGGCTCTGCTCAGCCACCAGGACGACGAGGAAGGAAAGGGAAATGTTGGGCGACAGATGGCGAGTCCCCCCCCCCCCCCCGAGAGCCCAAAACAACGATTCTAGCGATGCATCGATGATTCATTATGAAAATGTACGACAGACAGCGAAGCATGAACTCATTTGTGGGCCTGGGAGAGGGACAAAAACTAGCTCTGCAATGATTCATGTGGCCTCTCCGACACAAGCTGTTATCACGAAACAGCGTGAAGGTCACAGGAGGCTGATGAACAAGAGCTGAGGGGCCGACTCACGGACAACCGCTCCGTATCACAGAGTCACGCGGAGCGACCTCCCTCTCCGGCTGCCTTTGGCCCCGATCCCAATCCTTTTACATCAGGGTGTCCTCTTCAGCACCCTGACGTAGACTCCTGGGAACCAGACAAATCTGCGAGCTTTATTTGCTTCGGACAGATATCCAGTCACGTGAGACCGGACTGGCCAATCACAACCGTTTATCTAATATGGCGCCGTGTTTGAAACGATGACCGGTAAGAGGAGCACCGTTGAGGCATTATTCAAAGATAATAAAAGTCGATCAAAAAAGGCTTCTCCTTTCCTATATTTAGTAAAATCAACTTTGATCTGTAAATTCTGAGGGCAAAAAACACACGTTCACACCTCATCTGTCTGTTTATTTGTCCGTTGCTCACAAGCGGCAATCTCCGGTTCTGCCGAGTGAACTCGATGTGGAAGTGTCTTAAAAGCTGCATTCTCTCTACTGTCCATCAGGGGGCGACTCCTCTGGTTGTATTGTATGAAGCATTGGTTTCACTCTTCAGAACCGGAGGTTGTCGCCTGGTTCCTTCGTAAAAAATCAATGCGAACAGGAACCGGGCCAGAACTAAAATGCAACAATGTGTCATTTTAGTTGGTTCGGACAAAATAAACCCAACTGCAGGTGTTACTGCATCCTGAGAAGTGTGTGTGTGTGTGTGTGTGTGTGCATCTTGGCGATCCCGCTGACTGATTTCCTCCAGCGCCACCATCGGGTCGATATCTGTGTTTTCTAGTGAAATATCTTGACAACTATTGGATTGATTGACCTTTGATAATAACTTTGGTGATGAGCGATACGTTGGTTTACGACCAAATACCTGCAAAACATCCCATCGGCCTCAGCTGCAGTTTGTGTTCACAGTGCTGAACATGTTCGTTGAGCTGGTATAATATTTAAAGTCTTTGCTGTGGTGTTAGCGGTGGATTCCAGTGTGGGGGACAATTCTTTTTGGCAATATCTTCATGGAATAATAATAATAAGTATGCAGGGTGTGTA